GCATTGTTGTTTTGTTCTTTTAACATTTTTGCTAGATTGATGGCCGAAAAAACAGGGTGTCTTCTGAATTTGATACTACTTCTTTACCAGTTGGCTTAGGTTATTTTTTAGAATTTTAAAAATTTATCTGTTTTCCCTTTGGGGTTTGTCCTTGTCCATTTAGACCAAATCATTTAAAATTTATGTTTTTTAAAAAAAATTTTTAGTTTGCTTGTGATCTCTTTGTAATTATGCACTAATACTTAACATATCTGCAAATATTTTTAGTGTTTGCCTTTAACTTTTCAAATATATAGTCAACTTTTTTTTTTTTTTTTTTTTTTTTTTGAGACAGAGTCTTGCTTTATTACCCAGGCTGGAGTGCAGTGGCACTATCTCGGCTCACTGCAACCTCCACCTCCTGGGTTCAAGTGATCCTCCCACCTTAGCCTCCCAAGTAGCTGGGACTACAGGTGTGTTCCACCATGCACAGAGGTAAACATTTTGTATTTTTTTTTCTTGTGTAGAGATGGGCCTTTGCCATGTTTGCAGGCTGGACTCAAACTCTTGAACTCAAGCTGTCTGCCAGCTTTGGCCTTTCAAAGTGCTGAGATTACAGGCGTGAGCCACCTTGCCCTGCCTAGACAATAATTTGATGACTTATGTGGTTGCTTACTTTTTGTGTCCTTCTGTAAAAGTCAGAGGTACAAGTTTATAATGTGGCAGTACACTGAAGGAAATTTTAAGAAGACCATTTCCCTGAGTTGTTAAATAAAAAGGCTCTAATAGGTATGTACTGTTCTGTGATTCAAAGATAGAATTTAGAGTTTCTAGAGAGGTTGGATGATAACATGTCTTAGACCATTTTCTCTGTCATTTTTTATAACTTTTTTGTGTAAGGGCTAGACAACATATAGTACTGATGTGCTTTGGGAATTTGTGGAATAGGTATGATACTGAGTAGATGATATTGAGATACTGTGATGGAAATTGATTACAACTATTGTTCTTTTCTGAACAGAAGGCTGTGCCCACTTTCATATCTGTAGGCAAAATCAGAATTTTTCTAGTTTTCCCAAAATTGTATTGAAGTTCTCCAGAGAAACAGAGCCAATAGGATTTAATTAATTAGTTAATTAATTCAGATTTGGCTCATAAGATTATGGAGGCTGATAAGTCCTAAGATCTGGGGGGTGATTTGACAAGCTGGAGATCTAGGATTGTTGATAGCATGGTTCCAGTCTGAAGATTGGCAGGCTCATGCCCCAGGAAGAGATCAGTTCAAGTTTGAAGGTGGGAAAAAGCCAGTGTTTTAGTCAGAGGAGATCAGGCAAGAATGATTCTCTTTTGCTTAGGGAATGGTTAGCTTTTCTTCTGTTCAGGCCTTCAGTTGATTCAGTGAAGCCCACCCACATTATGGAGGGTAGTCTTCGTTATCCAGTTGACCAATTTGAATGTTGATCTCATCCAAACACCTTCACAGAAGTAATGTTTGACTGCATATCTAGGTACCCCATGGTCCTGTCAAGTTTGTCATGTAAAATTAACCATCATACATATTTGACACTGTCTAAGAGTTCCATACAATATGGATAAACTGAGATTATTTTATTCTGGAAAAAGAAACCTAAAACTGTTGTTGACATATATTTGTTTTTGTAATCCATGAAAAACCTCAATAGTGCTTTCATGAATTGTCAGATTCTGAGCAGCCTGGCTGCTGATATGTACTCTAAGATGAGCTCACGTTTCAGTTAGAATGATTTTTTACTCTGCATCTCAGGAGTCTTCAAACTGGCCCCAGGCTACCTCTGATTTGTCAGCTGTTTTTATAAATAAAGTTTTATTACAACATAGCCACACCCATTTTACTGTCTACAGCTCATTTAGACTTAAGTGGCATAACTGGCTAGTTGAGACTGAGATTGAATGGCCCACAAAGCCGAAAATATTTACTATCTGGCACTCTACAGAAAAAGGATTTGTTGAACTGTTTTTCTGGGAATAATTATGCAAGACTAATGACTGAAGGTTTTCCTAGCTTGTGATAATAAGACTATAGCATTAGTCTATGTAGTGGGGTTTTGCTCCCTATTACTGGAGTAAAAGAGTGAGTGAGTGAGAGAGAGATTGATTATTTCCTTTTAATCTATGAATGGTTCATTGGCGAAGACTTGTCAACAATAGAGTGGAGGTGTGTTGTGGGCTCTAATGGAGCATTATTGTATACTGCTCAAAATAGTTACATTGCCTAAAAGCAAGGATTTTAATTTTAGCCATTTAATACAGGTTTTGTAAAAATTGTTACTAGCAATCTGAATTTATGTGTCTTGATCTATAGCTGGTTTCTAACCTCAGTATCAAATGTTGATGTAATCTGCAAATCAGTATACGTACTTTCCAGCATTTCCCCACACAAATTGGTAGAATGAATAAAATAGTAACCAATGATGGAGTAAATCTTCTTGTAATGTATTTGTTCCTTTAGTAAAACGTAGTCAGTGTTAGCATTTAGATATAGAGCTCCCCAAAGGTTTTTTCCATGTCTGCAAATATACAAACTCTTCTCCAGCTATGGAATCATACTGTGTATACAGCTACATAAAATGCTTCTCTTCCACATATACTTAATATATTTTGGATGTTTTTCCATGTTTAAAAATAGGTTGGTAAAATCATTTTTAGTATGTAAATATTATCCAACTAATTAACAGTATGTATTTGTTCATAGGCTTTTCCTTATTTTAAGCAGTGCTGTCAGGAATGTCCTTGTACTCATATTTTATACTTGTCTGATATTTACTTAGGATAAACTCTCAGTAGAAGGTCATGTCTGTGTTGAAATTTAGATACCACTTTCCAGTTTGCTCTTTAGAAAGGTTGTACCAATTTGCAAGGCCACAAAAATATATGAGCATACCCCTCACTTGGCTGACGCCAGTCTTTCTTTTGTCAACTTGATAGTTTTTAAAATCCAGAAAATTTTGTGTTTTTTACTTCTCCCATTATTAATGAGATTTGGCATCTTTTCTTATCTTTATTTTCCATTTATATATAGTCCCAGCCTATTTATGCTATTTGCTGGGTATTAAAAAAAAATTACCCAGTTAATAGGTTTGCACTTGTGAGAGTAGACTGGTTGCCATTTTTGATAATGGTTTAGACACGACTTTGAGTTCATTTAGATGGGATGTTACCTGATTGAAAAAAACATTTTGATGTAGATTATAGATCACAGATCAGAATTAGAATAGATCTGGTGACAGAACACCTTCCTCTGGTGCTTTGATGTGAGTGTTGAATCACATAAATTGAAAAGTCTCATTCAGAGAGAAGTCTAGAAGCTACAGAGCTTTAAGTGGTTGTTCTGGACCTCAGAGCTGGTAAAAGTTTCTCTTTGGCCAATATTTTTCCGTTTTGATTTGTTAATTTAAATGTATAAGGCTTTTAAGGCTGCTTGTGTACTTTATACATCTCTAAAGCCTAAATTTAATTGATAAATTGCATTTAAATAAAACTTTAAAGTTTTATTAAAAATGTTTTAATAAAATAATATTAAAATGATAATGTTTTGTTAAAAATGAATTATAATGTTGAACTTAATATGATAGAAGTAGCTTCAGGTCTGGTTTTATTAATTGGTTTATATGTTTTGATTGTAATATTATCATAGAGAACAACTATTCCTAAAAGTGTAGCTAAAAAAAAAAACTGGTATAATTAACTTTATGTACGTTTGTTGTTTTGTTACCCTTATGTTTAAACTGCCAGAAGGCATTCCTTACATGCCAGTTTCAATAGGGTATCACTTAATAATTCTTTAAAACTATCTTGTTTCAAATAATGGTAAGTAACCAGTGATGTCATTTGCTCTTTACTTAGAAGCAATTGCAGCCATAAAACACAAATGGGGACATTGAATTATGTGATAAATCTGTTTAAGGTTGCTATACAGATACGGGAGCATTGAAATTATGTGGAAATAATGTTTTAAGGTGGCTATTCAGATCATCTGTAATGTGTGTTAAGAGCTGTCATGAAATGACAAGCCTAAAATTCATTTAGGGATACTTCTTAATTTTCATGAATAATTCTGTAATCCCTAAATTTAGACTCATTGTGTTAGGCATTAGTAAAGATTTGTACTTCTACAGGTTTTATATCAAGTTTAACAAATTTAAAATTTCTCTTTCTAATTATAGTACAGTAACAATTTCTAGGTGTTTATTTCTGCATCTAACTTGTAACAAATAGTACACATTGGCACTGGTCCATGGATATCCTTTGAGTAGCATTGTACTAGAGAATAAAAGAATTTAAGTAATGGGTAAAACAGAAAAAGTCAAATAAAAGTTAAGTAAAAATGGTTAAGTGAAAATAAACATTGAAAGAACAATGAAAAACCTTAAAGTAGCTAAAAAATATTTAAATTAAAAGGACAGATCAAGCATTGAGTAGGAAAAAGCTGTGCTATTAAATTGTTATATAATAATTAAGGAAATAATCCAAATAAAATGATGTAAAAGAATTTAAAAATTTTAAGTGATGATTGTAGACAAAATTTAGTAGACATGTAGTAGAAAAAATGGATCATTTTCATATTCCATGTGGATATCCTATTTATATTATCATGCATTATTATTGGATTTTTCCTGAGTTCTGATGCTCAGTTAATGCATGTATGTGGAATCACAGATGCCTACCTATCAATTATTCTAGAGCAGAGGGCTGACATTTGAAGATAAGTAGATTTAACATTTTTAATAACACAGTAGTATGTCTTTAAAAGTTTAATGCCCAGAAGCAGAACAGTTTTTCAGCTAGAGGAAGCTATTTAATCACACTTAATTGATATATGTGTGATATATAAGTTTATTTGGTTAATTTTATTGATCATTTTTAATTATTTTGGGCAGAAAGATATTTTATATCTTATGTGTATTTTCCACAAGGTAAAAAAAAAATCTTCTGCCTACTCAGATATTATATGTGTGTTAACTGTTGGATATTTCCCTTTTTAGGCCCAGATTATTCATCAGTATGGCTACCTGGTAATGAATCATTGTGGCAGGCCACAACTGTTCCATCTAACCATCGAAGTAACCATATCAGGAGACACAGTATAGCTTCTGACAGTGGAGACACTGGCATTGGAACTTCCTGTTCTGATAGTGTGGAAGGTGAGCTAAAATTCTTACTGTTTATATATGAATCTTTGAAGAGTGGTTGTGATATAAGAATATTTAGGGGATGTGTTTTATTGTTTCATATTGAAAATTACAGTGTTTGAATATTTAATAATGTTCAGTGTTGCTATATATCAAATAAAATTTGATGAATTTGGTGTTTCATACTGAAAATTATAGTGTTTGAATAGTTAATAATGTTCATTGTTGATATATATCAAATAAAATCCCTCTAGTCATATTAGAGTTTTTTCTTCATCTTTTTAACTAAACTTCTTATTTTGAGATGCAGATTTACATGTGGTTTTAAGAAATAATAGTGTTGTAACCAGGATATTGACATTGATAAAGCTGAGATTCAGAACATTTCCATATACCTTATGTTGCCCATATACACTTCTCTCTCTCCCTGCTCTCCTCTACCCCCTTATCTCTTGGAAGCCACTTTACTCTTAATTTCTATAGTTTTGTTTTTCAAGAATAATTTATAAGTGGAACCATAACCATATACAAACTTTTGAAATTGACTTTCTTCTCTGGATTTTCATCCAGTTGTTTGTTACATGTATCAACAGTCCATTCCTTTTTATTGATGAGTAGCATTCAGTAATGGTGGTATTAGAGAGAATACACTTCTAATACACTGTGAAGTCATGTGTACAGTGTTTATTTCTGCCAGCAGTGATGTATGAGAACATATGGAATATTGAAAACTAGGTAAGCTCATCTGAGCCTTGGTGTCCAGGGTTTTTTGGTAGGTGGGTATGTAGGTGTGGTTGACTGCCCTCATGGATGACCTCAGTCTGCAGCTGATACCATTTGGTCCAAGGCCCCCACCATCAATCACATTATTAGCATAGACTATATGGAGTGGCCTAAAATCCCCAGGTAAAGAAAGACTTTCTTACTAGGCAGGACATTCCAAGAGCTTATTACCTCCTAGGAGCTGGGCAAAGGCCACATCTTTCTCAGAGTATGCAAGGTATGGGAAACTCAATATGTGAGACATAGACTGAGGTTTTTTTTTTTGCCTTATTACTTTTTGGGTAGAGTTGTATCTACTGTATTGTTTTTCAAAATTGTTTTAGCTCTTCTAGTTCCTTTTCCTTTCTTTATAAGCTTAGAATACTGAAGTCTGGGTATTTGGTTAAAAAAAGAAAAAAATAAGCTTAGCATAATCAGGCTACTGGAAGTAACACTCATAAAAATTATGAGTTTGTACAAAAAAGAATACAAACAAATCTTCCTGGGAATATGATACGAATTGTATTGTCTATCAGATTGGGGAGAATTTCATCTTTTCTTGGTGAGTTTTTCAATCTATGAATATGGTTTGTTCTTTATTTATTTAGATTTTTTATTTTGCTCACCAGTGTTGTATAGTCTTTAATATATATTTTCTATACATATGTTGTTAAATTTATACTGAAATATTTTGTTTTTGGAGTGATTGTAAGTGGTATTATATTTTCAGTTTTGTTGTTGATGTTTTATAGAATCTAGAAATAAATTTAGAAATACATTTATAATATAGAAATAGATTTGCTTTTTAAAAATTAATTGTTAATTAATTAATTTTTCTGAGATGGAGTTTTGTTCTTGTTGCACAAGCTGGAGTACAATGATGATCTCTGCTCACTGCAACCTCTGCCTCCTGGGTTCATGCAATTCTCCTGCCTCAGCTTTCCTGGTAGCTGGGATTACAGGCATGTGCTACCATGCCTGGCTACTTTTTGTGTTTTTAGTAGAGATGGGTTTCTCCATGTTGGTCAGGGTGGTCTGGAACTCCCAACTTCAGGTGATCCACTGCCTCAGATCAGTTTTGCCAGCAGTTCGTTGATTTTATTGATCTCTACCAAAAGCCATCTCTTGGTTACATTAATTTTCTCATTTATTTTTCGTTTTCAATTTCAGCGATTTCTGCTCTTTGTTATTTCCTTTTTTTCTTCTTGCTTTGGGTCTGTTGAGCTCTTCCTTTTTTTAGGTTCTTGTTAGCAGGTTTGAGAGTTTTCCCTTTTTAAAATATGCTATTGTAAAATTTTCCTCTCAGAAATGCTGTAGGTGTGTCCCACTAATTTTGATATTTTATATTTTCATTTTAGTTCAGTCCAGTGTATTTTTCATTTTTTTAATTTACCTTATGTCTTGCTCTTTGCATCTCAGGACTGTAAGTGTGTTGTTTAGTTTCAAAGTGTTTCGAGATTTTCCTGATGTCTTTCTATTATTAATTTCTAGTTTATTTCTGTGTGGCTAGAAACACTTCATGTGATTTCAGTCCTTTAAATTTGTTGACATTTGAGGGCCCACTATATAGTATATTTGATATAGGTTCTGTGGGTACTTGGGAAGAAGGTGCATTCTGCTGTTATAAGGGAGAGTGTTCTATAAATGTTGATTAGATTTTGTTGATGTTGAGTTCTGTATACTTGATGATTTTCTGTCTAGTTTTTCTATCAGTTGAAAGAGGAGTATTTAAAAGTCTACAATTATAATTGTAGATTTGTTTATTTTTTCATTTCTGTGTTTTTGCTTTGCAGCCACATTGTTTGGTGTGTACACATTTAGAATTGCTATTACTTCTTGGTGGTTTGACCCTTTTATCATTATATAATGTCCTTCTCTGTCTTTGGTATAATTTTTTCTCTGAAGTTTACTTTATCTGATATTATATAACCAGCATGCTTTTTTTGATTAGTGTTTACATGGCATATGTTTTATATCCTTTTACATACAACCTATCTATATTATTGCTTTAGGTAAATGATTTGTAACAGCATATAGTTGGGTCATGGTTTCTAATTAATCTGCTGTGCCAATTTCTATCTTTTAATTGGTGTATTTAGATCATTTACATTTAATGTAATTATATGTTAATACTTAAGTCTTTCCATTTGTTCTCCATTTCTGTTTTCATTTTCTGCCTCCCTGTGGGTTATATGAACATTTTTAGAATTCCATTTGGGTTCATCTGTGTTTTTGAGTGTCTCTCTTTGTATAGTTCTTCTACTGGTTGCTTTAGGTATTTTTATATACATTGCTCTTGGTACATTATGTATATACATGTATCACAGTTTACTGATGTTATTTTACCAGTTTGAATGGAGTTGAGAAATCTGACTTCTTTTTATATCCCTTTACCCTCCCTCGTTTATAATAAAATAGTTTCACATATTCCCTCTACATACATTTATAGTCACATCAAACAACTGTCAAACATAATTTAAGAAACTCAGGAGAAGGGAAGCCTATTTTATTTATTCATATTTTTTTTCTTGTGTTTTTTCTTCCTTTGTGATGCGCCAAGGTTTCTTTTGTTACTTTCTGTTTAGAGAATCTCCTTTAGTCATTCTTAATTCTTTTGTCATCTCTGATGACAGATTGTCTTAGTTTTCTTTTATTTGAGAATGTCTTGACTTCCCCTTGATTCTGCAAGGATAATTTTACTGGGTACACATTTGTAGTCTGACACTTCTTTTCTTTTACCACTTGAAAATATTTTTCTACTTTTTTCTGGCCCCTGTGATTTCTGATAACAAATCTGCTGTCATTTGAATTGTTTTGTACCCTCCCTCCCCCATTGTAAGTTGTCATTTTTTTTTTTCTGGCTTATTTCAATATTTTTTTCTTTTTCTTCAGTTTTTAGAAATTTAATTATCATGTGCCCTTGGGTGGATTTCTTTGGATCTTGCAGTTGAAAGTGATGGGGTACTATCTCCTTATTGCCAGGTAGAGATAGAAGTCCAGGTTCCCCACATGGTCTTGCTGATACCTGAGGATGAGGTAGAGTACCTTGTTACTGCTGGGGGGGGGGGTGGAAGTCCAGGATTCCCAGATTATCACCACTGACACCACATTGCGGGTTGCCTTATTATTACTCAGTGATGGTGAAAGTTTTCAGTCTCTACTAGACCTCCTCTGATACTACCTAAGGGTAGAGGGGAAGGCGGGGGTGTACCATATTGCCGATAGGGGTGAAGGCCCTGTCTCCCTACTTGGCCTTCTTGGATACTACTGTGGTGGTACTTTTAGGGTGCATTATTATAGCCTGGCAAGTTTAGAAGTCTAGACACCCCACTTGGCTTTTGTTAGCATGGGTGGGAGTTCCCAGAAGGTAAAATTAGTATTATTAATTTGATGAAGAGTTTGAGCTGCATTTAAAACCTGCTATTACTTATTATAGTTATCTGTACAACCTTGAATAATTTCTCACTTCTTTGAGCCTCACTTTTTAAAAAATCTCTAAATTGAAGATAACTCTGTGGTGATTTGATACGATGACTTTTAAGTAGCTTAGCACAGTTTTCATTATTATCAGTGCTCAAGAAGTGACTCTTGTTCTCTTTCCTCGCTCCCTTATGTTTTTTAGTGTCTCTCTTCTCATTTTTTTTCTCCCTGGAAATGTTCTCCAACTGACTTATCTGGAGTGGTATTTCTATTGCCATCCTCACAATTTTGTGCCCCCTTGTTTATTTTGGGGCTGTTTATTGTTTGTATCATAGGACAGGAACTAGTATGTACTGAGTGTTCAATTTTGTTGAATGAAACAGTGGATATGTAGACTCTCAGTTAAGGTTTCTGTTTCGGCCAGGTGAGGTGGCTCATACCTGTAATCCTAGCACTTTGGGGAGGCTGAGGTGGGCGGATCACCAGGTCAAGAGATTGAGACCATCCTGGCCAACATGGTGAAACCCCGTCTCTACTAAAAATACGAAAATTAGCTGGGCGTGGTGGTGTGTGCCTGTAGTCCCAACTACTTGGGAGGCTGAGGCAGGAGAATCGCTTGAACCCTGGAGGTGGAGGTTGCAGGGAGCCAAGATTGCGCCACTGCACTCCACCTGGGCGACAGTGCAAGACTCCATCAAAAAAAAAAAAGGGTTCCTCTTTCTACCTACGTTTTTATTCGATCCTGGTTTTGTACTTGGTATTTCTGAGGTTGTAGTGTTGCATTCTTCTGTTCTGCTTCAATATTTAACACCCTTTGTTTTCTATTGTCA